TTCATTTCGGTTTTTTTCAGCCCTCTTCTGTTCTCCGGCTTCCTGGGAAGTGAATTGCTGATGCACCTCGGACTTAATTCATTAGTGATGCAACCGGATTCGTTTCAGGATTATGTTGCACGAGTTGAATTTTGAATGAAGGAGAAGAGTTTTTTTTTTTTTGTTTTTTTTTTAAAGAAGTGATTCTGCCTCGATGTACTTTGAACGATTGCTTTATTTAAATGTACGACTTCATGGTGTTATTCTTTAACAGTTCTTGAATGTCCATTTTGACGGTAACTTTCCCTTAAAATATATGTCTGTGCGCGACACCGAAGACGCTTCAGTTCAGCGAGATTACCGGTGGGTTGGATGTTTAATTCAACACGGGCATTGCATGACTGTGGGCTGAATAACAAGTGGTTTGTTTTTAAAACCGCACCTTTTACAATCTCGGTTCAGATAACCAGAGTAAAAACCGTAGTCCCAATTTAAAGGATCACCAGCCGCAATTGAAGCAAACATGTCTGGAGAAGTGCGTCTGAGGCAGTTGGAACAGTTTATTTTGGATGGGCCAGCCCAGACCAATGGGCAGTGCTTCAGCGTGGAGACCTTGTTGGATATACTGATCTGCCTGTATGATGAATGCAATAATTCTCCATTGAGAAGAGAGAAGAACATCCTTGAATACCTAGAATGGGGTAAGTGTGTAATAAGGAGAATAATACAACTATAGCTGGGCGTTTGGATTTGCTGTTGGGCGTCGGTGTATTCGGTGACGAGTATAGATTGCTTACGTGGAAGTATTGACATTTCCGTACTGTACGGTGTGTATTCACGGTACACGTCTAAGTACACAGTACAGGCTTGGCCCGTATGCCCACGGTGTGTATTATGTATCTAAATATATGTTCAGTGAAAGGATAGACAAGACTTGGAAACATTGTTTCTAGTTTTGGGTAAACAGTCTGCCAGGAGTCTAACCGTGCTACTCAATGGTTGTCTTGACTTGATGCGGAATTCAGGAGAAGGAATTTGTGTTTTTAGGTCAGCAGTAGATTTTTTGGAGTGATTCTGTGATGGGCAGAGTGCATTAGCCTCACCGTTGTCTAATACTGGTGGTATCCCAGACCTCAAAATGCAAGGACTTACTCGTGGAAACATTCCTTCTGTGACTTGGGAGTCACTGTATGAGTGGAAGAAGATATATCAGTAGGAACTGAAAGGCAGCGATCAGTGCAGTTGATTTCATCCGTATTGTGCAAGCAAAGAAAGCCAATAAGCATGGACTTTCCCAAAATTGTCTTGTTTGTGAGACAACATGACATAAGCGGTCAAAAATATTCCGATGGTAGCTGGAGAATGTTCGGGAGCAGCTTCTGCCAGAGCATTAGACTGAGCCCAAGCCAGTTAGAATTCTGTCTCCATCAGGCAGATGTGATGTAGCAGACCTGCTCTAGGAGTAGAGGAGAAGGAGCCTCACGTGACTTGGGTCTTGAATGCTTGGCTGGAGTCTGCTTCCGCTGTGCCCAGGAGCGTGCGACAGCCGCAGCCTCTGCTGGAAAAGACACACGATCACCCACCTATATTGGCACATCGACAGATAGTAGACAGATAGGTATTCTGGACCTTTGTTGCAGATACTTTTGTTCCCGAGTAACGATTTCTTTTCCTGAAGTCAAAGTAATTATGATTACTGGTGATTTTAGGTTTGAATCAGTCTGCCAGATAAATCCCTCATTCAGTATCGCCTGTATGTAATAATTTTATCTGATTTGTCATATGAGACCGTTTAAGCATCTTGATGTTGAGGTTAAACCCTCTGTATTTTAGTCTGTTTTTGAAATAGGCCACCAGAATCGTAATGGGCATATCAGAATGCTGAACTGTCTTTCAGTTAACTTCTGTCTTAAGAGTGAGGCGGTTTTGATTCTGGTACTGGTTTTGTGAGTGTTTTTACGTATAGAGTATCATATTTATAAAGCACATAAATTTAGAAAACAATTAGTGTTTTTTTGAAGGTGTAAAGTTAAGGTTTGATATCTTTACAGAACTACGGCTCCATAGCGCCATTCTAGCCTGTGATTATGATTGTCATTTCATGTCTTATTTGCAAAAATGACAGGCGAACTTTTTGTATGTACCAGTGGTAATAAACTTTTAAAATTATGATAAAGGAGAAAACCATATCTCTGTTGTCTTATAGTTTTGTGCTATGAGTTATTTTGGCGAATTATCAGAATAATTTATACATATTTTCTACTAAATATGTTTTCTTGGATTTTGTTTCATATATGTGCATATAGGTACATGTAATATGTGTGTATGTGTACATATAGTAACTTATACATATTTTAATTAAAGCCAAAGTTTAAATATTTCACTAAGTGCATTTTATTTTTATTAATATATTTTAAATAATTTTAATCTAGGACTTTTCACCACTTAATTAGGTTTTGGTAGTAGCCCTCACATTTTGTCTTTTTAGAAGTCCGCTGTATGGCACAGCAGTTTCTCGGTAACAGCGTGCAAGAAACTAGCATATTTCAGGACTTATTTTAGTACACTTTGGGGCTAGGCAGTGTCTGTTAAGACTCGGGTTTTTTTTTTAAGTTGGAGTATGAAGTCTTGAAAGTGTGATAGCCACCACAGAAGTTTGAATAAGGCATAAGAAAAGAAGGTTAAGAATGGGAGTTGTCAAGAACATGTATCTTGAAACAGTATTATTTGCTATCTTGAAGCTATTAAGAGAGTTTAAGTCAAGACTTCCAGGATTCTCTCTTCAATTAGATATTCAAATAGGTCAAGCCATCTTTGTCTAGGAATCGATTCACATAGTTTGGGGGAAGTCTCCTGTTTTTTTTTTTACCTAACATAACATAGAAAGCAAGTTAGATTAAGGAGATTTTGAAATACTGAGTTGACTTCAGTTTACATTTATAGACATTATTTTCTTTGATCTTGGGAGAAATTTATAAGGATTGCTTAGGGTTAAATTTGATCATTTAGATTTGCCTTCAGTGACACATTTTTCAGCTTGAATTTTAAATGACCTAATATTTCTAACAGGATAGCAGTAGTTGTTACGTTCTGTGTACTTGATGCTGTTTATTTGTACTTGGTTATTTATGATAATGAAAGTGTCTTCTAGATATTCCTTATTTTCATGCGATGATAGGCAGCTTTAGAGAGAGTCAGCCAAGATTCTGCCTTTTTTCATTTCTATCAGTTTCACTTTATTCCCAGTTATGGTCCATTTCACTTTTGTGTTGGCGCAGATAATGTTTTGTTCATTGTGGTGTCATGACAATAAGAAAACTGCCAATTTTGAATTGGATATGTTGTTTCTCCTTTGACAGTATCCCCTTCTCTTGGTGCTGATTGAGGAAGCAGAGAGTGAGAGGACATTAGGCCAGCGAGTCATAAAGTAGGGGAATAAGAGTGTCTTAGGCCATAGGTCACTTTGGAGTTTAATAACATATTATTTTACAGTTATAGTCAATACGATTTGATAGATTATGTTTTGTTTTCATTTTTTTGAAATAAAATTTCATTTTTTTAATAATTATTTTTAACAAGTAATATTGGGGTACCCCATCAGAGTTTAAGTCAGGAATTCCAGGGTTCTCTCTTCAATTAGATATTAAAATAGGGTCAAGTCTTCTTTGTCTGTGAATTGACTCATACATTTTGGGGGAACCTATAGTGCACCCACAGTCAACACACCAACATTCCATTGAGCTTCCTTCTCCCTTTTTCTTCCCTCCATCCCTCCCCCCTTGGAGTTTCGGTTCTGTAGTCAGCTTTCAGGGTCAGATTTTCAGCTTGTCTTTATCTGACTGTTACTTGGTTTTTCCAACATTCCACCTTTTAGTGCCATCATCTGGTATTTCTTTCATCTTTTAACTGACTTCACTTAGCATTATCCTTTCACGCTTCATTCATGTTGCAAAATGACGTGACTGTCTTTTTTAGCTCCGTGCAGGATCCGGCTGTGGGTAGAGACCACTTCTTCTTGATCCCCTCCTCTGTTCTGGGATACCCAGGTTGTTTGCATGATTTAGTTATAGTAAGTAGCGCTGCTATAAACATGCAGTGCAGTTTCCTTTCAAATTAGTACTTTTGAATTTGGGGTAGATGTTTAGGAGTGGAATTACTGGGTCAGGTGTCTCCTGCTTTGAGACACGTCCATGCTGCTTTCCCTGAGTGCTGGCCCGGTTTGCACCCCACCTACACAGGCCCTTTCTCCCACCTGCCCTGCAGGCAGGGGCCCTTCCTCCACATCCTCAGCAACTCTTGCTTCTGGTCTTTTCCAGATGGGCCACTCTCAAGGTGCGAGATGGCCTCTCACTGTGGTCTTGTCCTGCTTTCTCTAATAAGTGATTGTGAACACTTTTCCATGTGTCTGCTGGCTGCTGTTAACTAGTTTTTAAAGTTGCTAAAATGACTGTGTTTGTCATGTTTGTAATACAATAGTTTTAATGTCAGTAGCATAACACTAGAATAAGTTTTTTGCAGTCTAGACACAAGCATTTTACATTCAAACTTATTTTTTAGTAACGATTAAATGAGTATATGGAGTTGGCTACTCTCTTCTTTGAAATGGGAAATTGGAACTTCAGAATTCATTTTAGATAATTTAAAACATAGGTGTGAGATAATGTTGCTCAGTGCACTTAAGCGCCCAAGGCTGTCCGTGTGTGGGTAACTGTGTTTTGATGCATCCTAAGTCTTGGAACTTTACATACATTATCCTTAAGTACTAGTAATGTCATAGCTTATTCAGTGTCAGACAGACACAGAGCAGTCTGAGTATTAATAAACTTGCTGAGTGAGAACAACAGCAAGTAGAGTGATTTACATTTTCCTGTCATCAGTTTTAAGTTTATTCATTTTTTGTTCATGTGCGCCTCAATTAAGTGAGGTGAAGATTATTGGATCAGCAAGGATCTGATTCTTTTCAAGGATAGTTTGTTCTCCACTTCTACCATGTGCATGTGAGCTTTTCCTAAGTATAATTTGTTAATCAGACCAGATTGTCTAAATAGCCATTTAATGCAGATGATTTTTTTTAAGTTCTTGATTAGGATCATCATTAATGTCAGAAATATAGGCTGGACATTTATTTCTTACATACTAGCCACTTGGTGAGCTGTATGCTAAGAATGATAGTAAATGAATACAATTATTTGATGTAACACAATTCTGGCATATGGTAGAAGCTTGTGTAATGGGTGGCAGCAATTACTACTCCATTGCTCTCTCATATGTCTTTTTTAAAAAGAAAAATTGCTGTATAAGTGTGAATAGGGATGTTATGATTAATACTTTCAGAACTTTAGGAATCTGTTCATTTCACACGGAAATGTAAGGTGTACCTAGGCATAGCATTCTAAAAATAGCGTAATATGTTGGAAATTTTATGAAGAGTCCCATAATTTCTGGACTGATTAACATTCTATAGTACATTCAGGCTATTTTAAGGAAAACTAGCTGAAGTTTGTCCAAATTAATATTTTGTTGTACTGCTCTTCTATGGTCCCAAATTCCTTCCACAGTCTCTTTCTTGATACACTTCCAACATACATAGTTCTCCCCAATTCATTTGGCTTTGATAGGTTTTAAAAAATCAATTTTTTAAGTCCAGCTAGCATTAAAAAAGAAAATGTCAAGTTATAGAAAGAGTAAGTATTGTTATGGA